AAAGGTTGTGAAAAGTGATTTTATGAAAGAAATCGGATTTCGTGAGTTCGGGGCTAGTTCAACCTAGAAGGAGCGCGTGTCGGATTTGGACGTGTAACATTGATTACTAGGCCCAATTGGCTGCCGGTTTTGGAGTTAGGGATAGTTAATCAATCTCGCCTCGATAAAGTCGGTTAGCGGTTTTCAGTGTCTGTCATGTTGGGCCAGGACTATGGTCGGGATGGTGGTGCATTTCATACCATTGTTACATCCATGTATATAAACTTGTTGTGAATAATGTTGCCTTGAATGGATTGTGTTGTTTATTTGTTTCTTGACATTCTCGCACATGATCTCGACTTTTTTGAACCGTTCTTTAGTTGTTAACTCAAACTGAGCCATTGTACTCACCCCTTTCTTTAACATTTTCAGGACATGGCAAGGAGGTTGTAAATATCGCACCCCCACAAGCTTAGAAGTTAATTTATGTACTTTTGTTATTTTTTGTAATAGAATTGTGTAGGCAATGATCAAATGCATGTAACCTTATTATTTTGCTAGTTTCATGAGAAACCCTTGTAATCATGGCCATGGAGGTCTCATTATTTTGTAAACTTATTCTTTTGGACATGAATTATTCTTTTGGAGTATGGATGTAATGGATTATGGATATTTTCAATTTCTAAATGATGAATCAATGGTTTATTTTAGCGATTATATGTGTTGTTGTTGAGTTAGATTGTGTTCATAGACTTCTATTTTTGAAGTTTGAGCATTTTGGGTGGCATTTGAATGGTTTGAGAAGTGATATAATTGATCACTTCATTTATGGGTACCATTTAACTGGTTAGATGGGGTCATCTAACCGGTTAACTCAAATCTAGAACTCATTTAACCGGTTAGATGCTCCTATCTAACCGGTTAGTTGGGCGGGCAGTAAAGGAGTTTCCATCTAACCAGTTAGATGGTACTATCTAACCGGTTAGTTGTATTCATCTACCCAGTTAGATGGGTCTTCAGTTTTACATGTTCTTTGGACCAAGCCATCTAACCGGTTAGATGAAATCACGTAATTGGTTATATGAGGTAGTATTTGCACTTTGGCCCTCAACATCAGTATAATTACCTAATTACTCCTAAACTTCAACCAAAACATAGAATGGCCATAGAAAATGTTAGTTTTACTCCTTAACAGTTTTGAAGCCATAATGAACGTACTAAATGACTATTTTGCCCGTTTGGGTTCTAAACCATTATTTGACCACGGTAAATAACTATTATACCCTTATGGACTCTAGAACTATTATAATGACGTGAAATGACCATAATACCCTTGTGTGACCTCAGGTTCGAGTAACGACCCATTTAGCGATCCGGATCTCCGGGTTTGGGTCGTTACAAGGGAAATGGGGTAGTGGTCGGAGCAATTAGGAAGCTTTACCTTACTCCTAAGGGCAACTAGAAGCTCATCAACTAGCATATATTTCTCTTTTGAAAAAGTTATACTTAAAATCTTTTAAGAGACACATTCTAGAATCATAATTGATCGATTTTCTATATTGTCAACCAATTAAATCCAAAAAAATTTCGTAATAATAAGACATGGAATTAGTAAAATAAATTTTAATGAGGAGAAGATGTTGGAATAAAAACATCTTATTATTAGTAATTCGAGTTAGATGAGTTCAGGGGGTTACCTAAAAGTACAAAATTTTCAACCGAAACCCAATCTTCATCCAAGCCAAACCTATGCTCAAAATTTTGACCGTTGAAAAAAGAAATTGTAGTTCGAAATCATCCTGAGTTAAAGTTGGATTGGAGAATTCCCGAAACTAGGAGATTAAGGGTTTAAGTTTCTATAAGAGCAGAGCTGGTGTATGAGTTTTAATTTGGAAAAAAAAAGAAGAATAAAGATTTATAAAGAAAAAAAAAGCCATGATTATAAATGTATTTATTATGTGAAAAATTATAAAATATATATGAATTTAAATTAGTATTGGGTTAAGTTTAAATTGACCAATTTCAGACTTTTCAGCTCGAATTTCAGAAAAAAAGATTAGTGAAAAATGTTGGCTTTATTTCCTTCTATATGGAGGAAAGCCCAAGTGAGTTTTATTAAAGCCCAAAGCCCAGTCCTTTAGGGTGAATAACCCTAAGAAAGTCAGAATAAAAAGAGAGAGAGAGATCAGCCGTAACTTTTAGAAGAAAGAGAAGAAAAAACGCAGGTTTTTTCATTCTGCCCAGATTTCATCAAACGTCCGATCCCGCTTCTTCCGTGGTCCGATCGAGCTAAAATTTGGAGGAGAGGTTCACGACTCAATGAGTTAAAATCTGAACGGTGGAGATCGGATTTTGAGCTCCGGAACAGTGATTCGTGCCCATGAGCAGTAACCAAGTTTTGGTATTTTTCTCTCCAATTCTTTATTTTTGCCAAGATTGTTGCTATCTTGTTGAGATGTTTTGTAACCTCTAATTGCTATTAGAGAAGACTTTGTGTACCCATTATTTGGTTGATAGTGGAGATTTTAACTGGACTAGGTCCCATGGTTTTTCTTCCTCACACTGGAGAAGTTTTCCACGTAAAAAATTGCTTGTGTTCTTGTGGCTTGGTGTGATTGATTTTTTTTTTTTTTTCTCTATTATTTTCAGCACATATAAAAGTAGAGATATACTATATTTGCTTGCATATAAGGAGAAGAATTATTCCGCAGTATTTATTTATTGTCATCTCTCCTAACAAAAAATAGGGTTAGATTCACCAAGCCCACCCAAGTTCTACCTCATAGTTTTCCATATCTCCTATATAGACTCAAACTAAATAACAAATTTAATATTTAAAGGTCTTTTGTTGAGTACTCCATAACAACAACAACAAAATAAGCTACAAGTAAGAGTTGTAATTCAAATAACTGAGTTTAGTTAACGAGTTAAAACCGAGTTGAAGGGCAACTCAATTAAGTGATAAAATCCAACTAAAGATACTGCAAATCGAATAATTTGGCTAATATCAAATTTTTTATATTAAAAGATAGCTGTATGAGTTTCTAGAAACTAATTAGCATGTCTTAACAAATTCCCTTTGGCTTGAGCAAAACAAAAGACAATAGTTTATAAAAAGGTTCCTTTCCGAACATCTTATCCTAATCTACTTTCTGAAAAGGTCTAAGAAGTATTAGAACAAAACCACATAGAGAATCAGAGATATTCTACTTTATGTAAATTTTTTATAACTGATGAAGCACTAAATCTTATGTCACTCAAGCATGCTTTGTCTCCAAAATTAAGATTCATAAGATTTTATTCTTTTTCCCAATCCGTACATAACACGGATCAATGCCGTGTGTGATCTATAAAAAAAATGGTTCATTTCCAAGCATTCCCAAATGATACTATACCTTAGGAATAAAAATATTAATATGTTCTTGAATGTACTTTTAATTTTTATATTTTATCAGCTCATAAAATCTACTATGATCTCGATCGAAAGTAATAATTAAGTATACTTCATAATTCTTTAATTCTATTTGTATATAAATATTGAGAGGTACATCAAATCATTTAATAATAAGTCTTTATAAATATCAGTAACCAATGGATGACTTCTCTATACAAAATTTACAAAAGAATTTTATTTTATTTTATTATTATTATATTTTTCTATATTGTTTGATTAGATTTAATATTAGATCTCATGAGTTCACATCTCATCTATCAGTGTAGTGTGTCATATCATAACGCACTAACTTCGTTAGATCAAAACGCTTTCATCGTAACATTTTTTATATTAATCTATGATGAAATCACAAATATCATTATTCACTTGTGATGTAAATAATTTGAATTAGAACTCAAAACAAGAATCATGAAACAGACTGATGGCAAAATTTCTCAAATTTGTTTAGATGAAAATATTTAATAATTTGAAACAATTAAATATTTTTCTAACTAGATTGTTCTTAAGCATAACATAGAATATGATCCAATCTCAAGTCACAAGAGATAATAGATTCAAATTAACAATGTAATTGAAAAGTTATCTAGGTTTAAGATTGTGGAAGGGTTAGTTGTCGATATGGAAGGCTAGAAGCATGAAAGTATATGAATCCTATGGTGAATTTATCATTCCCATGAAAAATCATCACATTAAGGACCAGCTGTTCCCTAAGTGACGCATAAAAGCCATGGTTACTTCAATTTTTAATGACTCCAATACCCAATATGGCATCCAACAAATTATAATTAATTAGGGCTTGATGGTGATTACCCTCTATCTATCTCCTTAAGAAGTAAGCAAATCCAACACCTGGTTAAAACCAATTGGTCATGTTGTGATTTTCAAGTTAAAAAAATTAGCCACCCATTAATACTTTAATTAGAATAATAAGACAATGCTCTTGAGCTATGCGTCCTCGATGTCCACATGCATAAGCCCTAGGCTATACGTGTCCTTTGTTCATTAAATCCCTCTCTCCTTTGGCTCACTTCAGCATCACCAAAATATACTTTGATTGATTTGTTCCATATAAGAACATGTCACCCAATGTCTTAACAATTATTTGGATTCCTCAAATGCCCTCATGTTCTATAACTATTTGCATGGACATCCTCGTATTATGATGACCTTTGATCAAAACTTTACAACCATCTGATTTGTATCATTTTTTTTCTTTTGGGTTGTTCCTGATCAAGGAATTGAATGAGCAATAGATGGTGAGGATATTATCATTAGTTAGGTCCAATACAAAATCATAACATTGCATTAAACAATATTCCACTCATGAAAAAAGAAAAGAGTAAGGATATTTTGGTAAAATGCAAAGTTAATAATGTATTATTATAGTGATTAACTTATATGGAGAAAGGATAGGGATTGTTTGACAAGGACATTATTGCAGTGACTGGTGGGTGAAGTACAAATTAAGGCTCTTGGTGCATATATAAATATGAAACAAACACTAGCTCTTATGTCACAGAATATTGAAGACAAGTCTGCCTAATTTATCAAAGTAATATTCCATTTTATGTCTTGGGGAGTTATGGGAGAACAGTTGGGATGGGGGATTATAGAAGGGTGGAGGAAGGGCCCTTGGACTACAGAAGAAGATAGGTTGCTCGTTGAGTATGTCAAGTTGCATGGTGAAGGAAGATGGAACTCTGTGGCTAGGCTTGCAGGTAACCAACTCAACCACTAAATTTTCAAAACCCTAAATTTTTCTAATTCTTCATCTTATCAATTATATGTGTGACTCTCAATATGTGGTGTTTCTCCATTGGCTGTCCAATTTGATTAGGACCAATCTGTGACTTGATCACTCAAATTAATTTAATCCCATTAATGTATATATATATATATATATATTTTGCCTATACAGGATTGAAAAGGAATGGAAAAAGTTGCAGACTGAGGTGGGTGAACTACTTGAGGCCAGACCTCAAGAGGGGACAAATAACCCCTCATGAAGAGAGCATAATTCTAGAGCTACATGCTAGGTGGGGGAACAGGTAATCATCTTGAACTGAAGAATATTAAACTTTTAAAAGTTTCATTAACAAAAATTCTGATCAAGAACTTTGTCACTAAAATGGTATGAATTGTACTCAAAATATAGGTGGTCAAAAATTGCACGAAGCTTGCCGGGAAGGACCGATAACGAGATCAAGAACTACTGGAGGACTCATTTCAAGAAAAAGGCAATAGTCTCCTCTGACAAGGCTGGAAAGTTGAGAAGTCGCCTTCTGGCAAGACAACAGATTCAGTTTCAGCAGCAGCAGCAGCAGCAGCAACAACAACAACTGCAGCAACTCCAAAACCAAGTGGACATGAAAAAGATCATGTCATCACTTGATGAAAGTGACAATAGAGTAGCGCCGTTTTTACCTCAATCGAGGCAAGACATGGCCACGGTATACCCTGCAGGCACAGCTGAGGAACAAGGCTTCTTGTATTCCATGTTCAATGGCTGTGCATCTGTGGCGCCAGGCGAGGGCTTTAACGAGGACACTCTGTGGGACGGCAGCTTGTGGAACTTGGATGATGTCCATGGCAATTTGAGCATGGCCTGTGCAACAAGCAAAGTCAGTATGCACAGTTTGGCCACCCCTTTGTATTGATTCTTCACATGTTTTTGTTTTGGTCTTCTTTAGGCTCTACTAGTACTGGTTGTCATCGGAACCAAAAGGTTCTTTATCTGCAGATTTTGGTTTTGAATGATGGGCATATTTGGTTGTGATCAATGCCTGCCAGGCTAATAACTTTGTATCCCATTAATCGAAGTGTCTAGTTTTCACTTATGCTGTTCAGGAGGTTCTTGACATCAAATACTCGCTAATAAAATTGTATTGCAACACAAGTTTTTGTGTATGTGAACTTATCACCTATTCAAATATTCACTATGTATGATTTCATGTACAACTTAATCTCAAAAAAAAAAAGAAAAAAAGAAAAAAGAAAAAAATGATTACATGCCATATTTCTAATAGTTGAATGTCGCCTTAGAAATCCTTGAAAAAACGTGGAATAAAAAAAACTATAGGAGAGGATTCAATTTCCTTAATAAAAGAGTTTGAAAAGAAAATATGCACTAATGATTCGTACATCTTTAAGGATGAGGAACCGTACACTCAATTAGATCATAAGATCGATTTTAAAAATATTTCGTAAAGTGAAATTTTATACCCAACACAATTAAAGTTGGCCTTTGCATTGGTCCTTTTGAATTTCATAGTTAGAAGGAACTCTCTGGATTATTTGCATTCTCATCTCTCTCTTAAATGTACATGTCTGAGTGCCACGTATCTTAATGCTCTGTTAGTTTATTATATACCCACTTATTGATCATGTGATATCCATTCTTTTAAATATCTCAATAATTAATTATGCTATTCAGTGTGAAAAACACTTCTATAACGGATATTTCGCATAATACTTTTACCATCTATTTTAAAAAGTGCACTATCATTTCTCTTATTTTTAAAAATTGTGTGAAAATACCCTTTAGATTACTTTTTACATGTGTTTGATATAAAGTAATACTTTAATACCTATTTTGCCCCTTTAGCTTTCCGAAAATGAGGGAGTGTGTATTATATATATTTTCATAGTAAAGGATATGTGCATATCAATTATATTTAACCCACTTTTGATAATTTCTTCTACCATTTTTTTCTCTCTCTATATTTCCTCTTGCAGTGTATTCTCTCTCTATATTTCCTCTAGCACTTTCTTGAGCAGAGATTGAGGTTGGCCCAAAATGTACCAAGGTTGGTTTTCATTACCATTTGATTTGGCGATGGTTAATTTTACCATTTTGACGATTATTCCCATTTATGGAAATTTGATTAAATTATAATTGGGTGTTTATTTCGAGCAGATGGTTGAATCTAGTGTTCATTCGATGTAGTTCGTCAATCAAGGGGTTAAACGGGCAATTGAATCTGATTACTATTGTCCCTTCCACCCTTGAGAAAACGTCATCGAAAAGACCATGTAACTCATTTCTTTGTATAACCATGTTTTAGTCCCCCGCTTCATGGGAATAATAGAGAAGCAAAATTACTTCAAGCTATGTTCAATAGAATTTGAACAACTCATTTTTTTTTTTTTTTTTTTTTTTTAATTTTTTTTTTTCAATTTCAATCTCAGGGAACCAAATCCATGCTGCCCAACATAGCATCCAAATATTTTGAAGGCTTTCTATTGGGTAACAAAGTTTTTATCTCCTGCATTTGATAAAGGTTTTCAACAAAAAGATAGGTCAAATGAAAGGATGTTCAAACCTCCAAATAAAATCAAGATAATGACAGAATCTACCTAATTAAGTAGTAAAAGTATATATATATATATATATATATATATATATATATATTACTTTTATTTTTATTTATTTATTTTGCTTGAGCCCTTAGTAATGCCTCTTGTGAGCGAGTGATAACGGGCATCACCAAAGAACTATTTTTTTCCTTTAAGCAAAACAAATAAATAAAATGACAAAAAAATAAAAGCAGAAATGAATAAATGAATAATAAAAGCAGTAAATGACTGGAAATGAAAGTAATATTGTCCCTAATAAGACTATATAGCTATGTATATAACTACATAATTATGTATATATATATATTTGTGTCGTTTTGTTCCTACAGGGAATTAGTTAGTTGTTATGTCCCTCCAGGACTATTTTATATAATATGATCGATAGTCCCAGTAGGCATGCCAAAAGATGTTTCGTCCCTTAGGCGTGCGCACATGGTTGGTCTTACCAAGCGATCGAGGTAGCTTCGTGGTCTTAGCAGGCCCGCACCGCGGCTCCTACCACACCTCAGCGGTGCGGGCCTGCTAGGACCATTAGATATAAGGTTATTTATTTAATTGTAACTCACATGATTTGGACATGTGACATATTACTTAGTAGTTAAGAAGTAAATAGATATCAATTAATATTATTTATTTATGGTCAACTTATAATTATCTTTTTGGTAATTACTTATTGGAGAAGTGTTTTCCTTTCTTATTTCTTATTTTGATGGAAAGTATAATTATGTTACTAATAGGAAAATTGGTCATGCCTTTATAAAAGTGCATATACTCCATCAATTATGTACAATTAATGATACAACACGTAAAAGTTTTATGTGTGCAAAAGGCCAAGAGAGAGAAATCAGTTTCCACCTTTACCTGTTGATCAGAGTTACAGATTAGTTCGTGGTTAAAGGATCTAAACGTTGGATTTAATCTCAACAATGTTTAATATCATGAATCGAGGTATTTATATCTAACAATTTATTTATACATTATAGATATTTGAAAATTATGAAGTTCTAAGATCTTAGGATTCATGTAAATATTGTGATTAATGATTTGCACGAATAATTATAATTTACATGTGGTATCAGAGCTTATGGTTTAGGAACTCATGATTTTCCTCTAAAGTTGCATAAATAAAAAAAAAAATTAAATAATATATTATATAATTCATTATTTTGAAATCGTTGATATGCTTTGATTGAAATCGTGGCTATGATTGTATAATGTCCAATTAGTCTCCAAAGTATGTTTTTGATCAGTTTGCTTACCAAATAATTTATTTTGGTTTGCTACCTTGATTTCCGCCTTTGTATATTTGACTTGAAAGTTACTATATATATGTAAGCATATGTATATATAACTTTATTGGTTTGCATGATTAAATAGATGTTTCTTGAAACATCACTTCACCAGCATGTATACTTTACACCCAAAAATTTTCTGGACCTACTTGTGTGGTGGATATAAATATATATATATATATATATATATATATATATATATTTGTTTTATATATACAGTGATAATTGATGAATGAGAAACATGTCACTGTACATGAGTATTTTAAATAGATTATTAAATACATAATGTACGTGATTTATTTATTTTAGGAATTTGAATTTCTAGAATAATTTGTGAGTTTAGAAATTTAATCTAATATTATTAGACATGCAAATAACTTCTTGTTTTATACCCAAACATACATACATGATGGAGAGTCAATTTTAGATTGATTCAATTATGATTTTTAAGTCCGAAAAATAAAATAATATGTTTTATTTTGTATATAAAATAAAAATTTATTTTCTATGAAATTTCGGACTATTAAGTTTTTGAGATCGAAGTTGCTTAAACTTCAATCGACAATTATGAGTATATGTGTATAATGTTAAATGGGTAAATTAATGATTAATTAGTTACTAGCTAATTTAATATTCATATTATGTGAGGGTTAGTAGTTACCAAAGTGACCTAACCATAATGGTCGATGAATATTAATTTTAGTAGTAAATATAACTTCATGATGAATTAATCTTTGTCTAATTTAATATTCATATTATGTGAAGATTGGTAGTTACCAAAGTGGCCCAATTATAATGATTGATGAATATTAATTTTTGTACTAGACATAATTAATCATAAATTAGTTACTATCTAATTTAATATTCATATTATGTAAAGATCGGTAGCTACCAAAGTGGCCTAACCATAATAGTTGATGAATATTAATTTTAGTAGTAAACATAATTGCAATATTTCATGAATTATGATGCTTATTATTTTATGTGATATTCATGAATATTGAGTTTATTTAATTATGAGAAATAATTCTCCAAAGGGAATTGATTTTCAAGTAATTAAATGAAAGTTAAGGGATTGCATGTTTTTTTTTTTTAATTAGGTAGATATAGGATATCCAAAGGTAACTTATCTGTTTAATTAAATAATACATCACCAATGAAGGTATACATATAAATACAAAAAAGTATCATTATTAATATTTTATAGTTGCCACCCAAAGGGGTACTATAGTTATACATTCTATTTATATTTTAAAGTTATGTATACGTGTTGTTAACTCAAAGCATTATTGTAGTGAGCATTTTATCTTATTATATTTGTTTTATTATATCTTTCAATGCACATGCTACATCTGTTTTGATTCTCAATAGGACTAACTTCTCATAATGGAATGAGTAAGTTGAGTTCAAAATTTAGATGTGTTAAATCTTGATTTAGCATTTTAAATTGAGAAACCTACTGTTATTACTGATAAAGACAGTGAGGGATAAAAGATTCTCCATAAATTTTGGGAGAGATCGAACAGATTAAGTATTATAGTTATGTGAATAATTGTTTCCCATAGTGATAGTACTAAAGAATATTTTGACTAGAAGATTATTTCCGTATTATAGATAAATAAATAAAACGAAAATTATTAATTTATATCACTACTATGCAATTTTGTTGGTACTCTTATCATGTATAGGTATGTTTTTTTTTAGATGACTAATATTGTTGTAAAATTGAGAACCTTATGTATGATTGTGAATGGGAATTTTTTTATTCAATTTATTTTCAATTTCTTGTCTATTTAGTATGGGTCATTTAGAGAATTAACACTATTAAGACAAATGAAAAGTGATTTAATTAACCATTATGTTAATTTAGGAGTAGACAAGACTTAAGTAGCGAGGTAATCATTATGTTCATCTGATGACTCAAGAAATTATAAATAAATTTTTGGGAATAAGCCTGAAAAGGCATTAAGTGAGCAACACCAAAAATTAAAAGATTTAGGTCAATCGAC